ATCAAGTACAGAGAAAAACTTTATAACAATTCTTATGAGTATGTAACACGAAAAACGTTGAATGGAAAAAAAAAAGAAATATCCGCTTTTATTCGAGGTAAGTTTCGATTGTTTTAGACATTCATGGATCCAATATCTTTCGAAATGAAGTATTTGAAAATTATGAACATTTGAAAATGTTCATCCTACTCATCAAGATCTTTGTTCCTTGGAAATGACTGAGTCTTTTGACGTCTTGTCGAGAGACTATAGTGAGAAGAGTTCTTAACGAATCATGTGTGCATGTAATGAATGAATCTGTTTTTTCTTATTCTCCTTGTAATAATAATTGTCATTATCATCTGTAAGCCCTGTTTATGTGTATCTAATCATGAACTTTCAAAAAGGAAATAATCAGAGAAAAAAAGCTTCATGTTGCTTTTTTTCCAGTAAAAACGGTTCTGTGATGATGTTTATGTTGTGTTTTACAGTGCCGGCCCGGGCGCATTACTTTCTTTTGTCACGTTGCGGCAGTATTTTAGATTTTTTTTTCTTTGTCTTCCAGAAATATGCTTTACTTCAAACAACCCACTTGTTTGTCATTAAACAAGTCGCCATCTGAATCATTTCTCAATCTTTCGTCTTTTATATTCGTTTACATACTTCCTTTGGTACGTTATTTTATTTTTCTAAAAGAAAAAAGTAATAAGATTGTGATGTCATCTCACTCATTGGAAAAATATAAAAAATTACTTGCAAAGGAGCCACAAGTCAATGATAAATATGTGATTATTGATGTTAAATGGTTGGAACATTGGAAACGCTATGTTGGTATCAAAAAATCAGATGAAGAAAAAGTCACTGAACCAGGTCCAATAGAGTTTTCAAAATTAGTCGATCCAGCAACAGCCAAGAATTCAAATGAAATACAACTTCGTTCAGATGCTGTCGAAGGAAATGATTATACTTTTATTCCATATGAACTCTATAAAGACTTAGTACAGACATATGAACAAAATGGTCCCGAAATGATTCGTAAAGTAATTCCACAAGGTGAATATCAAGCTGTAATTGAAACATTTCTTGTACCATTACGACTTCGTGAATCAAGATCTTCCGATGGTAAAGTAAAACAAATCTATCGTAGTCGTCGAACTAAAATAGAAGAATTAAAAAAGGATATTTGTAATGAATTTCATATTACAGGAAATTCAAACTATAGTTTATATGCATCAACGGATGAAAAAGGCTTAAATTGGAAACTTATTGATGAACGATCAAATTTAACTATTGACGATATTATTTTAACAAGAAATGCATTTATCACATATGAATCCCGAGTAGTATCAGCACATAATGCTTCTTCATCTTCTTCACCAAGAATAAATTATACCCTTGGATCTTCATCAAGAAGACATTTCACTCCTGGACTATGCAGTTTAGCAAATTTGGGTAACACCTGTTTCATGAATTCAGCTTTACAATGTTTATCAAATGTTCCAGCATTAACAGAATATTTTCTTTCTGATGAATATAAAGTACATATAAATCGTAATAATCCATTAGGAATGAAAGGTGATGTTGCTCTAGCATATGGTGAATTAATACATGAAATGTGGTCAGGTAAAACAAATTCTTGTGCACCAACATCTTTGAAACAGTGTATTGAACGTTATGCACCACAATTTAGTGGTTATGCACAACAAGATTCACAAGAATTTATGTCATTTTTACTTGACGGTTTACATGAAGATTTAAATCTTGTTAAACAAAAACCATATATAGGAAAAAAAGATGATGATGGAAAAGTTGATGATTCAACATTAGCTGCTGAACAATGGGAGTACTATCGAAAACGAAATCAATCGAAAATTCATGATATATTTCATGGACAAATAAAATCTGTTGTACACTGTCTAACGTGTGGTACAGCAGCACGTACATTTGATCCAATCTGTTTTCTAAGTTTACCATTACCAGACAAAGAAAAAATACGAACATTTAAAATCGAATATGTTCGTTTAAATGGACAGATTAAAACTTATGAGATTAAATGTGATGAACATGGTCGTGTACGTAATTTAGTTCAAGAATTTTGTGATCGTTTTCAACAGAAAAAGAAAAAAATTAGTGAAATGGTACCTATGGAGACAGATAATACATCAAAATCCGATGAAATTAATCAAGGTGAAGAAGAGGAAGATGAAGAAGAAGATTTTACAAAGGCATCAGATTATGATGGACATCAACCTAAACCAGATTATATTTTAGCTACTGAAATTTACAATCATCGAATTCATTTACAATATCCAGATAATAATTCGTTAACAAGTATACTTGACCGTGATCAAGTTGTGTTTTATGAAGTACCTGATTCATTAAAAATAGTAGATAGCAAGAAGATTTTAATACCATGTACTTTTCGAGATGAATATCATCATAACAATTTTGGTTTACCTATTTATCTTAGTATACCAAGACATAACTGTAAAGGAAGAGATATTCAAGAAGCATTGCAAGTAAATAATATGATACTAAATATCTTCGATAATTGCTCATCTATTTATAATGATTCATTTTTTTTAGAAAAGAATTGGTGATTTTCTTCCATTACCTTCAACGGAATCATCAGATAAAGCACTTTATAATGCTGTATTGATAACTAGTCAAGTTCATAGCCAATCAAATAGATTATTAAAAACATGTCTTGATGATCATATTGATTTTGCTCGTAGAAGTACATCACTTGCTGTTGACGTTGCATCATCAATTGTTGAAAAATATAAAAAACAAGAAGACGAAAAACGTTCTGAAAAAGATCATATTTCATCAATTACTTCTGGTATTCAAACACGTAGTCAACAAAAACGATTAACAACATTGTTAGATTGTTTTGAATATTTTACAAAAAGAGAAGTATTATCTGATGATAATGTATGGTATTGTCGAAAATGTAATGAATTAAAAAAAGCTACAAAAAAAATTGATTTATGGGTTTTACCAAAAGTTTTAATTATAAAGTTGAAACGTTTCAATTATACTCGTTATTTTCGTGATAAAATTGATTTATTAATTGAATGCCCACTACAAAATTTAGATTTATCACAATTTGTTATAAATCCAAATGAAAAAGCGAAAGCAAAATATAATTTAATTGCTGTTTGTAATCATGTTGGCGGTTTAGATGATGGACATTATACAACACATGCGAAAAATTCTATTGATAAAAAATGGCATACATTTGATGATTCACATGTATCAGATGTTAATGAAGATAATATTATTAGTAAAGCAGCCTACGTACTTGTTTATCAGCAACAACATCTATCATAAAGCCAGAAACCTATATAATAGGAACTGCAGCATCGACTTGAACTCCTATTTATCTTCTGTATACCATCCTTGTATCTCTTTTTGACTTGTTATTACATACCTTTTCGTATCTTTTACCTTGTTTTATTGGCATCACCTTCTCATATTTATTCCTGAACAAAAATACAACTACTTTTCTTTTGCTAAGTTTATTCAATAATAATGATCTAATAACATAACTTCTTAACGATCGTTGCACAACAAGTATAATTGATGTACGACTAGCATCTACTAAAGAACTCTATAACTATGCTGATGATAAATAAGCTTCTTGTGTACAGCTTAAATATGACCAAGATGGTCCTGCTTTCGATAGAATCAAAACCAACACTTTTTCGTTGATAATGATATCTTGTATGGCCGTGTAAAACTTGCGTCAGATGTCATATTCTCAAGACTCATGTGTTCTAAACAAGTATGCAAAAATTATTGAGTAACGATTCCTTCAATATTTGCTGTTGCAATTTTGATAGTAAAGTTAATTCTTTTTTCTCGTAAACAACACAATTGTTGAAGACATAGACGTGCAGAATAGATGGAGTATTATTGAATTTAAAACAAAAGTAATCAACCTCCAACATCGAAGATATCCTATGTCATGCAAGATGTCTGAAGGTCATTAACACTGCTAGAAAATGACATGGCATTTTTCACTCATACATGCATTACTAAGCGTAAAAGCAGAACCAAAACTTTTTGTTGGTCAGGTCTGGAATCAAAAACGACTAGTGCCACTAATCACTATTACAACTCGTTATAAATGATAAACAACACTAGAATATATCCAAAAAAGCATCGAAAGAGTGAGTGTGGATGTGGATGGATGCGGACGCGAACGTACAAGAAGACA